ATTTATAGTTTTCAAAGGGTTTAGGCCGAATAGATACATAATGGTTCGGCTAAGGTTGAAACCCCTTTGAAAATACATGATTTTTTAATGAAAATACATGATTTTAATGAAAGAACATGCTTTTGGTTGAATGATAAGGTGTTGGTTCGACCGTAATGATGTTTTGAATGCATTTGGAAGTTACTTGGAACCAAAAAATGAAGAGGAATAAGACTTTGGCCAAATAGGAAGCTTCCCCTCGTGTTTTGGCACCTATTTGGATGTCATATAGAGTGCACATGCTTGAATGATGCACATGGAAGCCTACTTGAATGTAGATGGGTCTTCTTGCAATGTTTTGGTGAGGTTACAACCATAGTATGATGTCTTGATGTCCATGGACAGCCTAGAGATGAACTAGCTTCAATGGTAAGCTAGGTGAGTGTCTTAGTAGCTAACTAGGTGAGCTATAGCTTGATGAACTCAAGCTAGTTAGCTTTAGTCTTCTCAGCTCCTCAGCTACTCTCCCAGCTACTTCTAGTCCACTTTTCAGCAATTTGGTCCAAAGGTCTCCTCCGCTCTATCCTCTGTCCTCTTTGCCGGTATATTTATGAGCCATGCCTAACAAATCTCCACCTTGGAGAATATCCTGCCCCTTAGGAAACATTCAATGTGGGTTGAGTTACCTTACTTCTTTAACAACTCGAAACATTCAACAAGTCCAAGCAATGCATGAACTTGTCTTTCATAACTGGCTTGGTGAACATATCAACGACATTCTCATCAGTATGTACCTTCTAAAACAAAATCTCTCCAGATGTAATCAACTCTCTGATCTTGTGAAACCTTACATCAATATGCTTAGTTCTAGCACGATATACCTGATTTTTAGCCAAGTGAATAGTACTTTGATTGTCACAAAACAACTGAACTCCACCTTGCTGAACACCCAACTCCTCCACTAAACTAGTAAGCCATAAAGCTTCTTTTGTAGCTTCAGCCGCTGCCATGTATTCAGCTTCAGTTGTAGATAATACCGCAACAGATTGAACAATAGACTTCCAACAAATAGGCCCTCCACCAAGAGTAAATACATACCTTGTAGTAGATCTTCTATTATCCAAATCACCCGCATAATCTAAATCCACATATCCTACAACCAAAGGATTATCCCGCTTACTACAAAAAACAATTTCATGTCCCATAGTACCCTTTAAGTACCTAAATATCCACTTGACTGCTTCCCAATGTTGCTTACCAGGTTTGCAATTTTCTTTTCTTTTCTTCTTTTGTTTCTCTTTTGAATGCTTTGCAATTTTCTTTGCTGATTTTTTATTTCTTCACTTGCACTTCTTTTTGTAATTTGTTGTTGTTTTTGTTGCACGTTGCTTCTTTCACCAAAGCTCTGAATACCACTTGATGTAAGGTACTCCTACCTTAAATTGATTGTGGATCTAGGAATGAAGCAAAACAACCTGCATGAGTGAATGGCTCAAATATATGGCTTGGTAGTTGATGTAAAGGTGAAATGGAGGGCTATTTATGTTATGAATATGGTAGAGGAAGTAGGATGATATGCCAATGGTTTGGTTTATGAAAGAAAGGATGTTTGGTGAGGATAGTATCATAGAAAGACCAAGGAAAAACCAATACTACAATGAGCAAAGACCCAAACTTACAAATTTTTCTAAGGGGTGGTAACAAAGGACTTGGACCCGCTATCTATAAGGAGATAAAAACCACAAGTATCAAGGAATAGAGGTTAACGCCACAAGTAATTAACTTACTTGATAAGTCGATAAAAGTCACAAGGACTTGATAAAAGAGAACAAACTCACTTAAATTATATCAAATGTGTCTTTACAAATGAAATGCAATAATCTATTTATAGTTTTCAAAGGGTTTAGGCCGAATAGATACATAATGGTTCGGCTAAGGTTGAAACCCCTTTGAAAATACATGATTTTTTAATGAAAATACATGATTTTAATGAAAGAACATGCTTTTGGTCGAATGATAAGGTGTTGGTTCGGCCGTAATGATGTTTTGAATGCATTTGGAAGTTACTTGGAACCAAAAAATGAAGAGGAATAAGCCTTTGGCCAAATAGGAAGCTTTCCTTCGTGTTTTGGCACCTAATTGGATGTCATATAGAGTGCACATGCTTGAATGATGCACATGGCAGCCTACTTGAATGTAGATGGGTCTTCTTGCAATGTTTTGGTGAGGTTGCAACCATAGTATGATGTCTTGATGTCCATGGACAGCCTAGAGATGAACTAGCTTCAATGGTAAGCTAGGTGAGTGTCTTAGTAGCTAACTAGGTGAGCTATAGCTTGATGAACTCAAGGTAGTTAGTTTTAGTCTTCTCAGCTCCTCAGCTACTCTCCCAGCTACTTCTAGTCCACTTTTCAGCAATTTGGTCCAAAGGTCTCCTCCGCTCTATCCTCTGTCCTCTTTGCCGGTATATTTATGAGCCATGCCTAACAAATCTCCACCTTGACGAATATCCTGCCCCTTAGGAAACATTCAATGTGGGTTGAGTTACCTTACTTCTTTAACAACTCGAAACATTCAACAAGTCTAAGCAATGCATTAACTTTTCTGTCATAACTGGCTTGGTGAACATATCAGCGACATTCTCATCAGTATGTACCTTCTAAAACAAAATCTCTCCAGATGTAATCAACTCTCTGATCTTGTGAAACCTTACATCAATATGCTTAGTTCTAGCACGATATACCTGATTTTTAGCCAAGTGAATAGTACTTTGATTGTCACAAAACAACTGAACTCCACCTTGCTGAACACCCAACTCCTCCACTAAACTAGTAAGCCATAAAGCTTCCTTTGTAGCTTCAGACGCTGCCATGTATTCAGCTTCAGTTGTAGATAATACCACAACATATTGAATAATAGACTTCCAACAAATAGGCCCTCCACCAAGAGTAAATAAATACCTTGTAGTAGATCTTCTATTATCCAAATCACCCGCATAATCTAAATCCACATATCCTATAACCAAAGGATTATCCCGCTTACTACAAAAAACAATTTCATGTCCCATAGTACCCTTTAAGTACCTAAATATCCACTTGACTGCTTCCCAATGTTGCTTACCAGGTTTAGACATGTACTTACAAAATTGACTAACAACAACAAATTTTCTTATTAGTGGCATCTAGGTTATTGTCACTAAAACTTCAATTTATGTCACTAGATGTATTTTGTGACAAAAAAGTCAATGCCACGACGATCGTCACTCTAGGTGTGTCACTAAATGTAAAAAGTGACGATGTAAGTGTTATTGTCATGTATTGTTAAATAAATAGTGACGCTAATGGATAACGTCACAGTTTAATTTGCATTCAATGACAATTACTTTTATCACCAAATGATGTACATTTTCGTCATTAATAATCATATCGTCACCAAAAACACAATAATTTCATTTTATACGTAACGAAAAGAAAATTGTCACATTGTTAGTAACATAGTATATCGTCACCTAATAGTAGCATGGATGACATTTATATATAACGCCACTATATAATTAATATTCAATGACAACTAATTATGTCACTAAATTATGTAAAATTTCGTTATTGATGATTTATATCGTCACGGATAATACATTAAAATCAACCTATATGTGACGAAAGAGATATTGTCACATTTTTAGTGACAATATAAATGTTACCTAATAATATTATGAATGACGTTTATGCATAACGTCACTTTATAATTTATATTCTATGACAGTTGGTTACATCACTAAATTAAATAAGATTTCGTTATTGATAATTTATATTATAACAAATAATGCATTAAAATCAATTTATATGTGACGAAAGAGATATTGTAGCAAAACACAAATAATTTTTAGTCAAACATTTTAAATGACAATATATATTAAAATAAAATTGTTTATACAAATCTAAATAAAAATTAAAATAGTTCACTTATTGCAAAATAATAAGATTTAAACAAATATTTCACTAAACACATAATAATTTCATTTCTATAAATATAAAAATGTTTAAATGTTTACAGAAAATAAAAATAATATGATAATAATATGACTTGTGGAATATTTCGTTGTAGCAATCTCAATCCAAACCTTGTGTCGGTTGTGATTCTGTTGATGTTGAGTTCGTAGTATCATTTAAAGCTACAAATTAAAATAATCAACATTAGTTACTACAATTAATATTATATAATAATTTTTATTTGATTAACTATATTGTTTACCTGAAAATTGAAGTGATGGCACTTGAATTCCAACAGCTAACAAAGCAGATCACATAACTTCCATTTGAGTTTGAATCAATTCAAAATTTGAACATATAAAAAACTATTTTAAATACTTTCACCAGCTTTTGCAATCGATTGCTCTTAGATATTAGAGGGAACTGCAAAGGCGCATTAAACCACATCCAAAATCATCAATTATTATAGTACAGCTACTCTCCACTGGCAGAGCATTCTACAACTTAATTCATAAACACAACAGTTTAGTTACACTGAGAGAATTATTCATTTACAATCCAACTACATTGATAATTATGCTAAATTGCAGAATTTTACAAACTTACACTGAAATGATGCTAATAACAATATTTTCTATCAGTTTAAATGGAAATGTAAATAAATTAACATAAACAAAAAGAATGATATAAATTCAGAATTCACAGACACATGCACCTAAAGGAAACATAAAAACATAGCAGAGTTTGAGCATACCTTGTGAAGGTAAAATTTTACATCAGCAACATTTATTTATTAAATGAAGAATTATCAATGTGAAAAGGAAACAAGACATGTACAGTTTTTTGAATGAGCCTTTCAATCAGATTGCACAATATCGAATAATAAAAGCAACAACGTTTAGCAAAATTTAAAAGAAAAACTAACAATTATTTTGTAAAAAACAGCAGAGTTTAGCAAAAAATCAGAAATCGAATAATAAAACTAACCCTAAACCATATGAATTCAACAATATCGAAAAAAAACATATTTAACAGCGAAGAAAATAAATTTAAAAGAAAACAAACAATTACCTGCAAATTAAAGTTGGAGAAACCTTTGTACTACTGCAATCTGAATCAAAACAAAAAATATAAAAATAATAAAACTATAAAGCAAAATTATCCATCACTTTGCTACGTTGACCAATTTTCAAATCAGAGATCTGAAAGTGATTTTCCCTCGGGTGTCCAAAGGCAAAAATTCACGTTAAAACTCAGATGGATAACTATAAATCGCCCACAAAATGAAACTGCTTAGCTATTATCATATTCCACGATTGCTATTGAAGGTCGGGTAAAATTTAGGAAGTTGGAACTGAAAACAGACAAGAAAAAAGCTGATGAAAAATAGAAGCAAGGGGAAGATGTGAGATCTTACCTAGAATGGTGGCCGATGATTTGGCTGCGTTAGCTTATTCTCCCGACAGAGAAGAGTGGATAAGATAAAATAAAGAGAGGCCAAAACCCTCGAGGCTTTTAACATAACAACACTGAGATAAGCTGAAACTATTGAATGAGTTTCAAACACCAGCACTTTCACACCCTCAAATGCCGCCTCTTCTAAAATGTCCAAAGCAACTTTGAACGCAACCACCACAGGCCCTTCATCGCTTATTATCCCAGTCGGACAGGAGCAATACGCTCTTATCTCACCACATGGGGATTTAAGGACTCCACCACATCCTCCTAACCCCACCTTCGAGACTCGTGGAGCTACGATTCCTTTCAAAGACAAACATTACGATCAATCCATATTCCCCAAGCAAAGCCGCGAGTGACACCCAACAAATACTCTTTAACTCACTGAAATCATAATAATAAAATTTTATAAAGGTAAGTCCGATGAACTATAGGCTTAACTACTTCATTTATTATTTGATGATAATAATAAATCAGACAGAATCATTATGGGTTTTTTGTATGTTTTTTCTTGCTCGTGATAAGCTAACCCGACTCATTCAATAGGAATGGTCGTTTCTTTCACAGCAAAGTTAAATTATATTAATATGAGCAATATTGAGTTATTGACCAAAAGTAAAAAATTGCCAAAAGTTAAATTATATTAATAAGAGCAATATTGAGTTATTGACCAAAAGTAAAAAATTGCCAAAAGTTACTTCAAAGAAGCTCAAAAATTATCACAAGCAGCAGATTACTATCCAATCCGACACGAATTGAAACAAAGAACAAAGTTACGCCATGATCACACGATAATAAACACCAACTTAAAAACAATACAACTTACAACAAACCGCAAACAATCAGTCAAGTTGTAACAAAACCAATGGATTACTACAAACAGCAGAACCCAATTCTGATATTTATCCCTATCCGCACAAACGTCCACCGTTGCATACTGTGTGGATAGAGCAGTCTACCATTGTATCTGCTTTCTTAAGAGGAAAATTAGGGAGAAAGAAGGGCTACATACAGTTCTAGCATGTCTTACACATCACTATTCAAGGAATCTTTGAACTCACCTTCCTTATCTTTGAATTTGATAAGAGGTATACAATCCACCATAAAATCATGCTCACTTAGCAGGCTAAACTGGACAACATTGGAATAGAAATCATCAACATCAATAGAGATCTGAAAATTGTCCATCAGTTTTGCTACGTTGACCAATTTTCAAATCAGAGATCTGAAAGTGATTTTCCCTCGGGTGTCCAAAGGTCAAAATTCACGTTAAAATTTAGATGGATAACTATAAACCGCCCACAAAATGAAACTGCTTAGCTATTATCAGATTCCACAATTGCAATTGAAGGTCGGGTAAAATTTAGGAAGTTGGAACTAAAAACAGACAAGAAAAAGCTGATGAAAAATAGAAGAAAGGGGGAAGATGTGAGGTCTTACCTAGAATGGTGGCCGATGAATTGGCTGCGTTAGCTTATTCTCTCGACAGATAAGATTTGGACCGTTGGATGAGGCTAGGGACGATCTGAACTATTTGGAAAAAAAACTAATCGGAAAAGGTCATCGTCCGGTTATCCGATACTGCTGCCGACTACTCCCACTTACGGAAAACAGTCCCAAATATTTTTCAAGCGAAGACTATTGTCTTATTTCCCTATAATAATTTTTTAATATCTCTACTTTTTTATTTTTCATATTATTTATCTAGATGAATAGAAATATTAAATTAGATCGGGAAGATCGTCCTTATCTCTGTAGTATTCAGTTTAGATAAATCAACCAATGAATAAGAAAAGCAATAATAATTCATTATGAATGAGAAAAAATCATGCTATGAATAAGGAATATTAAATTTTATTAGAGGGAAGATAAATTTTATTTGAAGGTAAGTTGAAAAATTACCTCTAATATATCTAAACATAATTATTAAAAATTTAGATAAATTTAGATTAATATAAAATAATTTAAATAATTTAAAATAGTAAAAAGATTTCTCTTTAAAAAATTTAAAAGTATAAAATAATTTAAGCAAATACTATTTTTAACAATTTCATAATAATTAATTACTCCAATGCAAAGTTTGATTCAATTAAAAATGTGTTTGGAGGAACAATAATAATCTTAAAAAATTCAAAACGCATATGTGAGTATGAGAATTATAAATAATTGTATGATTTTTATTGTATCTTATATGAAGTATAAGATGGTTAAAACCCTAAACTGATTGTACTATAAATAACTATATTAATTATATTTATTTCTTATTATATTATTTTTAAATTATTTAAAAATATGTAGAATTTAAAATAATATGATCGATGCCAATGAGTGTTGGTACAACTGGTTGAGATTCATGAATTTGAGCTTGTAAGGCCAAGTTTGAATCCTAGTACCGTCACCCTTGGTGGGCAATTTGTAAATTCTTATGTAAATCTTAATTGGATCTTAGGTATGCATTGGCCCTGACTGGAGCTCCATTCGTGACTTAAACTCTATAAATTGCATTATTTAATAAGGTTGTTAGATTGTCTTATTTTTTTAACATTATGTGACAATTTCATGACGTCTTTTAAAATTGTCACATAAAAAAATAGAAAAAAACAAGTGACAAATAATTGATTTCGTCGTGCTAAAACTATTTTTTGTGACAATAATAAAATGTCACTTTTAGTGTCTTATAAAATATGACAAATTAAATTGTCAGGAATAAAACTTATTAGTGACAAATGTGCAACGCCACTAATTCAAATTGAATCGTCATTATAATAAATCGTCACTAATACATATTTTTCATTGGAGACGATTTTACGTCATTATTTTATCTAAATGTTATTAAAAAGTTTCCCACAAAAAAATTGGTGGGAAGATTTTGCAGCCAAACATATAGTGACAAAAATCAATGACCATTTTTAAAATTTTCATAAAAGATATACCATTAATCAATAAATATAACGAAAACAAAACAACTTAACATTATAGTTTGTTTTGTGACGATATACGTAACGTCATTTAGAAATTTTGTCATAAATTGACAAATTTGTTGTAGTGATGAGCTAAATCAGGATGAGTACATATCATTGCATACATCAAGTAGCCAACATCATTAGAATACGGAACATTTGCCATATCTTCAACTTCCTTATCTGTCTTAGGGCACTGTTCTGATGACAGCTTAAAGTGATTCACCAATGGAGTGCTCATTGGTTTTTCTCTGCTTATCGCAAACCTTTCTAGCATTTTCTCAACATAACCCCGTTAAGATAGCTACAGTTTCTTTGAGTCTCTGTCCCTGCAAATTTCCATTTTAAGAATTTTCTTTGCAACACCTAAATCTTTCATATCAAATTCCTGACTCAATAAAATTTTCAAACCAATAACATCATCCATGTTCTTCGCAGAAATTAACATATCATCAACATACAGTAACAGAAAAATAAAAGAACCATCATCAAGGCTCTTAACATAGACACAACAATCATACTCACATCGCTTGTAGCCAATCTTGATCATATAGGAGCCAAACCGTTTGTACCATTGTCTCGGAGACTGTTTCAACCCGTACAAAGATTTCTTCAATCTGCAAACTAAATGCTCGTTTCCAGGTTGAGTGAAATCTTCAGGCTGCTGCATGTAAATCTGCTCCTCTAAATCACCATGTAAAAAAGCAATTTTAACATTCATCTTCTCTAAATGCAAATCCCAACTAGCCACCAATGCAAGTACTACTCGGATTGAAGTGTACCTGACTACAGGTGAAAAAATTTCATCATCATCAACTCCTTTCTGCTGTGAAAAACCCTTTGCTACCAAACGAGCCTTGAACTTCTCCCCCTCTTTTTCTGTTACTGCTGGTTTCTTCTTATACATCCATTTACAACCAATAGGCTTCTTACCCTCAGGAAGGTGAAGTAACTCCCATGTACGATTGTGATTTAAAGGCTCCATCTCCTCAACCATGGTAGCCATCCACTTGTCATTTTCCTGACTAGTAACAACATCATGAAAAGTAACTAGATCATCACTGCTAACAGTAAGTGCAAAAGAGACCAAGTCTTCAAAACCCAATCTGTTCGGAGGCTTTATATTCGTCCGTTTCACCCTGTCTCTGGCGAGACTATAATCCTGCAAATCATCCGTAGCGGAACCACCAAAAGTTGGTTGAGAAGTTTCTTTTTCTCAACTGGAAACTGCTCGAAATCCACCACTGTCGTGTCTTTCTTCTGCTGCAACATGGGTTGTTCATCAAAAACAACATCTCTATTGATCATAATTTTCTTCGCAACTGGATCCCAGAACTTGAATCCTTTGACATATTTCTTGTAACCAAGAAAAATGCACTCCTTCAATTTTGCATCAAGTTCGATCTCTCATCAGTAGGTATATGCATATAAGTAGGACAACAAAAAATCCGTAAGTGATCAAAAGTAACATCATGACCAGTCCATACCTCTTCTGCAAATTTCCCATCCAATGATGCCCTTGGCGATCTATTGATAAGATAACAGGCCATGTTAACAGTCTCAGCCCAGAAGTGTTTGGGAAACCCCGTATTCAACCACAAACATCTGGCTCTTTCATTCAATAACTGGTTCATCCGTTCCACAACACCATTCTGTTGTGGTGTCTTGCACACTGTAAAATGCCTCTTAATCCCATGCTCTTTATAGAAGTTTAGAAACTCTGAATCTATGTACTTCGTACCATTATTAGACCACAAACACTTGATTTTTCATCCTGTTTGGTTTTCTACCTCAGCTTTCCACAGCTTGAACTTCTCAAAAACGTCAGACTTCTGTTTCAAAAAATACACCCAAACTTTCCGTGAAAATCATCAATAAAAGTAACATAATACCTAGATTCACCCAAATACGATGTCCTGGAAGGCCCCCATACATCAGAATGCACATAATCAAGAATCCCTTCAGTTGAGTGCTTCCCAGTCTTGAAACGAACGTTAGTCTGTTTACCAAAAACACAATACTTATAAAAATCGATCTTACAGCTTTTAACACCATGCAACAAATTTATTTTTTGTAATTTAGTCATACTACATTCACTAGGATGAGCAAGACGCATATGTCACAGTTTGGTAGTATCATCACAGGACTCAACAGAATGAACTCCTACTATAACGGTACTCCCTAACAATCTATAAATATTCCCTGCAGTCATCTTTCCTTTCATCACAGTCAAATCTCCTTTAACAATCCGAATGGTTTCCCATCCTTATCGTCCTTAGGGATAAAACCATTCTTGTGCAAAGTGCCCAGAGAAATCAAATTCTTCTTCAAATCTGGGATATGCCAAACACCACACAACGTCTGAATAAAACCATCATACATCTTAATTCTGACATCACCAATACCAATAATATTGCAACATTGATCATCACCCAAATAAACTGAACAAGAATTAACTGACTTGTATGTCGAAAACCATTCCCTATTTGACGTGATGTGATAAGAACATCCATAATCAAGAATCCAAGCATCCGTCAATTAAGTTGTTGAAATAGAGAGCATATCACCCTCACTGTAATCAGAATTGTCATCCTCGAACACATTCACAGACTTGGATGAGTCATCACGATTCTCATCAGTCTACTTTTTCAACTTCAGACAATCTCGCTTCATATGTCTCGCCTCCTTGCACTTGTAACAATGAATTATCTTCTTATCCCTAGAATTAGATCTGAAATTTCGCTTCCCAAACCCTGCCTTCTCTGGCTTCCGCCCACGATCTCGATTACCCTCGACATATAAACTATCAGCTTGAGAGCTTTCCCCTGGATTCTGCTTCTGTTGATTGTGAGCCAACAAGGCTGTAGTAATCTTCTCAACTTTGATAGTCTCTTTCCCATATGTAAGAGTAGTCATCATGTGTTCGTAAGAGGGGGTAATGAACACAACAAAATCATCGCTTTATCTTCATCCTCAATTTTCACATCAAGCCAAGCCAAATTAGAAACGATTTGATTGAAGACATTCACATGTTGCGCCAAATCATGATCATCCTGCATCTTCAACCCATACAGCCGCTGCTTTAGATACAGTTTAGTCGTTAAGGATTTGGACATAAACTGACTTTCCAACTTCTTCCAAATTTCATCTGGAGACGACAGATGCATGACGTGATACATGACCTCGATCGCCAAACATAATCACATAGTTCTTGCCGCTCGCTACTGCAATTCTTCCCAATCTTCCTCCTTCATCGACGTCGGCTTTGTAGGTCGCAAAGCCTTCAGGATCCCTTACTGCGCCAATAGATCCTTCACCCTTGTTTGCCATAATCCGAAGTTACCCTGACCATCGAATTTCGCAACTTTGAATTTGACTCCTGACATCTGATACCAATTGTTTAATAATCAGGTAAAGAAAACAGAAAGAACACAAGAATTTTAACGAGGTTCAGCAATGTTCTTACGTCATCGGTGCCTTAGGCGGAGCTAGAATTTTTATTCAATATCTCATAGGTTTAGGTTACATCTCCATCCCCTGTCCTCTTTACTGATATATTTATGAGCCATACCTAACAAGTCTTAAATTTCTTATATATCCTCCCAACATACCAATAGATTACTCTAAATCAATAACTTTTTTCTTTAA